ACATCTCCCGTCCGCCAGCACAAATTGCACAGCAGATGGAAGCTGTCCCAGACGCGAGGCCCACCGTACTTGACCATTTCAGCAGTAACTCGGTCTAGTCCCGCAGCCTTACCACATTTCAAACTTCGAATCGCACGTTCAATCTCTTTCATGCTGATGACCTCAGTGTCATCGAGGTCCGTGTCTGGCGTGCCAGTCACGGCGTCACCCCCGGATCCTTCACTAAGATCATGACACGCATACATTTCTCTATAAAATTCACTCCATCGCTGCATGACGTCCGATTTTTCTGAGAGGACGTCATTGGTTCTCGAAAGCACTTTGTTCATTCTTAAGGCTGTCGCACCACTCCGAGACCCTCCAACCTCTTTCCAGAAGAGTTTGGAGTTTTCCCTAAAGTTGTGCGACAACCTCTCGTCCGCTTCTATTCTACACCTTTCACGTACTTCCTCAATCAATGTTTTCGCATGAACTTTCTGCAGCTTATATCTTTCTTTCATCTTCTCTCTCATATGCTCATCGTTACTAGAGGCCAAGTAGTCTAACCATGCTTTTTTATTCTTTTTTACAGCTTCTCTCACTTCATCATTCCACCATGCATCTCTTCTTTTACTACTACCTCTTTTTGTCGTACCACATACTTCTTCCGCTGCACTTACCATTCCATCCCTAAGGTTCTGCCATGTTCTCTCCACACATTCTTTCCTGCCATCGATGGTGTCAAGCTTTTCGGCTACCCTCGTGTGATATTTGTCCCTAGTATCCGCTTCCTGAAGCTTCCAGCTTCGGATGCGACAGACCGACTGTGGTTCTGTTACTTCCGTCCGGTAGCGCCAACCCGCGAACAAACTCCTAAATCTAGTAATTACTAGATAATGATCTGTTCCCAGGTCAGCACCCCTGAACACTCGTGTATCCATCACCTGTTTTCGCAGTCGGTCATCCACCAGGAACAAATCAATCATACTTCTCTCATTCTTTCTTTCTCTAGTGTACATATGGATTTTCCTGTGATTAAACATAGTGTTTGTCACAAGAAGACCCTTTTCCTTGCATACAGCCAGTATAAGCTTGCCAGCATCATTAACCCTTTTATCGACAAACTTTCCAAGCACCGACTCGTATCCTGGTCGAGCGATACCTACCCATCCATTCAAATCACCACATACAACAGTTCTTTCGTTTCCCTTAACCAAATCTAGAACTTCTCTTAAATTCTCCCAAAACTCCTCCAGCTCAGCCCTGGACGACGAAGCTACCGGCGCATAAACAGCCAAAAGGAATAACTTCGTCAGTCCCATTTTGAAGCGAACCTAGAGAAGTCTTGAGTTCACAACCTTGTATTCAGTCATAAGATCGACCAACCGGGACGACAACAGCACTCCCACTCCCTGGCAGGCGTTCTCGCTTTCCGGGACTCCGGACCATATAGCTAACGTCCCGCCAGGGAGCTCTTCAGCACCACTGTCTTTCCGTTTGGTCTCCGACATACACACGACATCTAATTCTCTTTCTTTCATTATTTCGATCAGCTCATTCGTCTTATCTCTCATGCCCCCTCTAACATTCCACGTGCCAACTCTGCACTCCGTCCTCCACCTTCCGCCGCGTCGGGCTGTGCGTGACGGGTGGCGGTCCCCGTCGCCGCTTTGCGCGCTGCATTCCACACCAACGGGGACGAGCTGGTGTGCGTCGCCTTGGGGGGACGCCCTAACCCTCGTTTGCATGGGTGCGCAGCTGTGTAGAATTGCAGCCCTGAAAAGGGCTGGCAGGGGTCGCGACGAGCTGCTTCTACAATGACCCCCTAGAGTAGCTACATGGTTATGATAAATCGCCGTAAAATATATTGAGCGTGAATTTTTGAAAATAAAAATTTTGAAAGCAATAAAATAATTATTGTAGGGTAGGTGAAAATCTGTATAGTAAAAAAATTATAAAAAGTTCTTTAAAATTTGTAGCTACAGTGGCGCCAATCTTATTTAGCGTTTCATACGGACACTTTAACTTCCCGCTAAGAAAATTGAAAATTTTCAAAAACACAGAAGTTATTGGTTTCACCCCGATTTGCGTGCCCGCGCGTGTGCGTGCGTGCGTGCGTGCGTGCGTGCGTGCGTGAATGCGTGCGTGCGTGTATGGGTGCGTGCGTGCGTGCGTGCGTGCGTGCGTGTGTGTGTGTGTGTGTGTGTGTGTGTGTGTGCGTGTGTGTGTGTGTGTGTGTGTGTGTGTGTGTGTGTGTGTGTTTATATGTGTGTGTGTATGTATGTAAACCTTTCATAACTTTCAACGTCTTGATCGATTGAGATGCGATTTGTGGCGTTCTAAAGATCTCAATGTGGAATAAGTTTGGTGAAAATATGAACTCATTCGGACGAAAAGATTTTGAGAAATCTCAAATATAAACATTTTGAATAACTGTTTTTGGTATAACTTTTCAACGGCTTTACCGATCGATTTCAAAAACTATTCAGCTCTTAACCTCAAAAAATAACGTCGAATGGAAAATATAAATCGGTTCATTCGTTCGTGAGATATCGAAGGAGAAAGCCGAATTCGATTCGAACTTTTTTTTAAATAGCTTTTTTATAGAAGAGGGGGCAACGGGCAAACGACCATACGGTTCACCTGATGTTAGGTGACTACCGCCGCCCACGAACATCCGCAACACCAGAGGAATTGCAGGTGCGTTTCCAGCCCTTTAGAAAGGTGTAAGCTCTATTCTTGAAGGTGCCCAGGTCGTATCGGTCCGGAAAAATTGCCGGTGGTAAACTATTCCATAGAGAGGTCGTACACGGAAGAAAACTTCTAGTGAAACGTACAGTGGTGGACCGCCAAGCATCCAGATGGTGTGGATGGTATCGGTAGGTTTGCCACGTAGTGTTTTCATTAAATTTGGCGGCTGGTATTAATCCGAACAATTCCTCAGAGCGCTCCCCGTGATAGATGCGATAAAATACGCCAAGAGATGCAACATCACTTCGCAGCGCCAGTGAATCGAGTCGATTGGAAAGCACTCGATCATCGACGATTCGAGCCGCTCTGCGCTCGATGCGGTCAAGTGGAAGGAGCTGGTACTGGGGAGCCCCAGCCCAGAGATGGAAAGAGTATTCCATGTGTGGCCGAACCTGCGCATTGTAAAGTTGCAGGCGGTGTGCCGGCACGAATACTGTTCCGCTCTGCTGAGCATGCCAAGCTTTTTAGAGGCCAATTTGGCCTTCTCTTCCAAGAGGCCACGAAACTGCATGTTACTCGATATTTCGACGCCAAGGATTCCGATACTGGCTGAGGCATCAAGGGAAGTACCTTGAAACTGAGGGGATACGGCAAAGGGGTTCCTTTTAGCGGTTAACGTGCAAACTTGTGTCTTCAGAGGGTTCAAGTGGACTAGATTTAGTCGCCCCCAATCCGAGACTTTGTTCAGCAAAGCTTCGACTTCAGACACAAGTTTGTCGCGGTACTCGGAGACGTTTTCCGAGAAATATTGGCACAGCCGGTGTACAGAGCATCACCAGTGCTATCATCTGCATAGCAATGAATGCTGCCAGTTTGTAACATATTGATATGCAGAAAAAACAGCCTTGTGGAACACCAGCATTAATAGGCTTGCAATCGGAACTTGCACCGTCTACAACGACATTGATGCTCCGATCTGCAAGAAAGCTGGTGATCTAATTGCACAATTTCTCGGGAAGCCCATAGGAAGGAAGCTTCGAAAGAAGCGCTTTGTGCCAAACCCGGCCTTCGCAAAGTCCAAACTAACGGCCAATGCCTCCCACTTGGACTCTACTGCCGCTGCCTATCTATGAGTCTGGTAGACCAGAAGATCACCAGCTGATCGACCACGACGAAAACCGTATTGGCGATCACTAATCAGTCGGTGATCCTCAAGGTGCCGCATGAGGCAGTTTACAATGAACAAGGAGGTGATGTCGATGGGCGACGGGTGGACGAAAGCCGTCTTCAATGATTTTGGGACTACGCCTAGGGAGTAGGAGTACCGGAAAAGATGTGTTAAGACCGGTCAACTCTGGATCACACGTCCTTAGCATAATTGAGGGATACACACATAGCACTCACACCGCGGGATGGTCAGCGGCATACTCCACCCGTCTTCGAGAGTCGAGTTGGACGCAAAGAAAGAGCCTAGCAGATCGGCTTTCTACTTTGCGGCATGGGCCAGTAAGTCATCCTCCCTGTGCAGAAATGGAAGAGATAGCTGACAGAAATTTCCTTGGACAGCCTTGGCAAGAGACCAGAATGCACGAGTTCCAGAAGGAAGACGAACTAGTTTCTCGCCATTTCTGCATATTTGCTCTGACTTTGCCTTGGCAATGACTATTTTGAAGGACTTTTCTTTTTTAGAGCGCTGGTGTTTACATCCTGGGACGTTGATGTGTTGCTAATATTATATAATAACTTCGAGATTTCGCAACATAATTTGGTGAAATTTGGAGCGCTTTGTATTTGAAATTAGCGGGAAGTTCCAGCGATGGCTTGCAGGGTCAACTAATTTTTTATACAGAGTCTGTACTCCTTACCTCAACACTACGTACTTAGAAGGCTGAACTTTACAGATAAAGAATTATTTTTTTCCGTGGGAAGGTATCGTGACAACTATCTATGGTCACAATGATAAAGACCAAAATATATGACTCATACTTTCCGAGGAACACTAATATTTTTATGTTATTTTTAACACTTAACGACATCTGTGATCGTACGTAAGAATTAATTCATTTCTGTGGGGAGTAGCCTATCTCAATACATCAAAATGGCGCACCTACAGGGATGACCTTTACGTCAGTTGATCACAGAGTACCCAAATAGTATATATGTAGTTATAGTAATATATACGGAAAGTAGAGTGAGAATACCTTTGTATAAACCAGAAACCAATTGATCGTGTCGATTCAAGCAAGTGACAAGTTATAGTTTTTCGATGTTCTTTTTTTCGGTTCTTCGTTACGTTTTTAAATAAAACTGTTAATTTACCATAATGAACGATGGATCCACTACATTTTTACATCAAAACACGTAAGTAAAACAATAGTTACTATTAATTATTTTCAATCCAAAATTGTTCCATATCTGGAACAACATGCTATTACGTTAATTTAGCTGTGATAAATCTGCACTAACATATGAAACTTATCAGTTCCATATATGGAACGTTATGCGTTCTGGTAATATTTCAATTGATATTATTTCTTTGTGTTTTTTTTTTTTTTTTTTTATAGGATAGGGTGACAAACGAGCACACAGTCCACCTGATGGTAAGTAGTTGCTGTGGCCCATAGACATCTACATCTATCCTCGATTACGAATCAAAATGCAGATGCGTTGTCACCCGTGAGGACTAAGATGGAATGCCTCGTTTCCAGTAAAAAGGGTCTCCGGTTCTCTACACTCACCATACGAAATACAGCAGCATTAAGCTACTATTTCACGCCGGTATTCTGTGAGAGCGTGGTCCTTCCCCGGTCGAGCCGACCCATTCGTATTACAACTATACTACTAATATAATTGCAGCATGGCTCTACCACGTACAAAACGTTATGGTATTTATGAACTTAACTAATGAAACCAGTTTAGACAGAAAGAGTCTGTATTTTAAAACGTTTGAACAAGTCACTAATTTATTTAATTTAATACACCGCTTGACTCCTAGGTATTTACATTTTGACAGCTGTCAGACTTATTGCACCAAGCATACCAATCAAAAAATGGGAAAGTATAATATTCGATTCTTCAAAAAAATCGATATCGGTTATTTAGAGTTGGTAATCATTTACAGTTTTGTTTGAATAATACTAGAATGAATTAAAAACAGATAATTTAAAACACAACATATCAGTTTCTTCGTATTTGTTGTTACTGCTTATATCTAGAGGCATAGCAGTAAAAATGAAATATTGAAACTAGATTAAAAATACTTTTATTCAATCACTTTCAATACAACTAGTTGAGATGTAGTTGTTTAGATTAATTATTATTAAATATTCATTAATGCAGTCAAAATTAATGTCTCTTTCAAAGTCATCCATAATCACTTTTGCGCAATCATCCTTTGTGATATCGGTATATGCTTCAACAATTATAGAAGAAACAGTCCAAAAATTTTTACATAACGACATATTTTTTTAATATTTTGCTTTGTTCGATAGATTCGAATTTAAATTAGTGATAAAAAACTATACACGTTGTAATGAAATATAGATAACTTCGTAATTCTTCGTGTTTACGTAAAATGTTATTTTAAATCGTGTGAGTACGCTTGTGCAAAGTTAATGCGGAATAATTAATGTGAAACGTCAAAAGGTATTTCTTAGATTTGGTTGACTATAGGTTATATCGCGCATCCCAATTGTCACACAGGAACATAATAATATCGGGGTAGCCTATGTTACTCTATGCCCTTTAAGCTAACTCTATGCCAAAATTCAAGTCCATTCACTGCTTAGTTAGTGTATGAAAGAAGGATAAACTAACAAATAAACAAACATTTTAGCATTTATAATATTAAATTAGGATTGCATATTTATTGATCAAGTATAATTAATTTCATAAAGTACCATAGTCTTCATGATGTTATGTTGCTATGGACACAAATTGCGATTGTATACTGTATATTATAATTGCAGGTAAAGTGAAAACACGCCCTCAACATACGATATGTTTACTCCCAGAGAACAGTGAAGGTGAAAATTTATCAGACGATGATGAATATCCAACTCGGGCTTCTCGAGATCCTTTATTCATACCGGAAAGTGAAGATGAAGAAGAAGACGAAGAGGACGAGGAAAAAAATGAACCAGAAGCAGAGGACATTGAGATTCTTTCTAATTTTATTGAAGAAGAAGTGGAAGTGTTGGGCGTTGAATTAACTTCTACAGAACAAGGCCCTTCTACATCAACTAAGCGAAGAAAAGTAAAGTTGGTTTGGTCTGATGAAGGTATTCAGTACGATGACCCCAATATTTCTTTTTTCGGATCTGAAGCACTTCCTTGAAATAATGCAGTTATACACTCCTATTCAGTTTTTTTTTTTTTGAGTACCTTTTCCCATCGTCTGCTATAAATCTTATCGAAGAGGAGAGTAATTTATATGTATCTCAAATTTCACCCGAAAATTTTAATGTAATAACACATGAAGATATCCACAAATTTATTGGTATTTTAATTGACATGTCAATAGTTCACCTGCCAACTACACGGAATTTTTGGTAGGAAGGCACATATATTGAAAAAGTGCCAATGTGCCAAATATTTTTACATTTTTTTGACAAAACAAAAGAATTAAAATCAAATGACCCACACTTCGATAAACATCAAAAAATACGACCCCTATTAAGGGGAAATATAATCGCAAATGGCTTAGCAAGATCCTTCGTTATGCCGAAAATATTGCATCATTAATTTTGAAATAAATATATGCTAAAATTGAGGATTAATGTTAAGGATTATGTTAGACGAAAACACGATTCTGTAAAATTTTCTCGATAGAAAAAAATCTAAAGTTACCTCCAAAATAAACAATGAACCGCTGTTATTCATAAAATACTTTAAATAAGATCATGAAACTTTGCATACTAATTGAACTAACTATAAAGCAGTGCTTATGTTATTTACTTTTTTTAAAATACATTTATTTTCACTGTAAAAAGAAATTACCTAAACTATCGGCCTTTTGAAGCGTGATTCCTGCCACACGGTCACTTCGCTTCGGCCTTTGAAAGGGGAGGTTGTGTCGCTTACGATCAGAATATACATTACGCAACAGGACGACGTAAAATTAAAATGGGAAATAACCGTAATAAAAATAAGAAGCGCCTGGGTTGGCGTTAAGAAACAGGCATAAATATGATAAACCTAATGAAATAAGTGTCTAACGACCTTTCTACTTACAGTATTAGTGATTACAAACATGTCGGTACATGGCATACGACGCGCGGGCGAGTGGGAACGAAATTAGAATTTGAGCTGACTTACTCTATCCCCTTAAACATTATTCGCGAAAGGCTGCTAAAAGTACCGAAAGAAGAATTTATGGCTATTGATGAGCAAATGATCCCTACTAAAGCTAAAACTTCAGGGATCCGACAATACAATGCTAAAAAGCCACATAAATGGGGCTATCTAAACTTTGTACTAAGCGGTGTCAACGGATTTAGTTAGGTACGATTTTGGAGTATTCAGTGGTAAACACTATGGTCCACCTGAAAACTGCCCTGACCTTGGGGCTCCTGGAAATTTCCTACAAAGATTATTGGTATCAATTGCTGATAATTTAAACCATAAAATATTCGAGGATAACTGGTATACAAGTTTACAATTAATGGCAAATTTGCACCGAAGAGGTCTATTGCCTTTAGAGACAATACAGCTCAACAGAGCATCTAACATTAACATAAACAAGGAATCTTTTTAAAAAAAGAACGAGGATTTTGCCTTGAAAAAGCTACTGTTATTGATGATGTAAAGTTATTAGTAACGAATCGGATAGATAATAAAATAGTAAGCCTGTGTTCTCCGTATGTAGGCAAAGAACCAATGGAGAATGTGAAAACGTATTCCAAAACCCTATTTATAATAAATACATGGGTGGAGTCGATTTGTTAGACGCCATGTTAGGCTTTTATAGAATAAAAATTCGCAGCAAAAAGTGGTACCATAGACTTTTTTTCCACTTTATCGATCTGACTTGTGTTAACAATTGGCTGCTTTGGAGAAGAGCGATGAAACAGAAATGTGAGGAATTTTACATGCCACTGTTGGATTTTAAATTATATTTGGCAGACGTCTTGATGCGCCAAGATTCAAGGGTGTTTACACCAACCACACGAAAACGTGGACGTCCAGTGAATCAAGATGTCGAGGCAATTAAAAAGGGGAAACGGCGAAGACGCATAGAACTGCCTTCTACTGAAATCGCGGGCGATGATTTCAATCACTGGCCCGCACGGAAAACGGATCGTCACGCTGTAAAATGCAAGGATGCACACAAAAATCACAAGTAATGTGTAAAAAGTACAGATGTTACCTTTGTTTCAATAAAGATCGAAATTGCTTTTAGAAAATGTATACATTCTTGTCATACATTGTAACATTATTGAAGTGAAAACTTCTTTAGCATCGTTGTGATTTGAAAGTCTATGAACGAAAAAGCGACAGTAAAACAGAGTAAAACAGAGAGACAGACAGATAAATTCATAATTTGAGGTGAGAGAAAATGAGATAGGAAGTATTATAGATTATAGCTCAATGCTCGCGTCAAAAAAGTCGTAAACGCCGTCGAAGCGACGTCGCTTACGCATTTTGTTCAACAAGGTACGAAGGTGTCGTGTGCCTTTGGAATAAACAAGCAGCGAAGAACGATGAACGACGTGCAAATGGTTTAGCATCTGATCGGAAAAAAGACTGAAAATGACTTTTATAGAGCGTACTTAGCGATCGCGGACACTATTTTCTACGGTGATCGTTCTCCTGTTCTCTAACCTCGATGGTAGAATGGTTGTAGACATGGAGGTTAGTTCTCTAATTTCCATGGTTGTAGACATGGAGGCTAGAGAACAGGAGAACGATCGCAACGTGCTAAAGCATAGTCCGCCTGTCCCTGAAAATTTATAGAATTTATAGCCGCGCTGCCATCGTTAACTACCTTGTATCTGCGAAGTAATTTTTTAAATATTGACAAAAAGAAACATTACAAAATGGTGAAATATTATTAATAAATAATAATAATAAATTTATAATTTATATTTGTAATAATTTATAATATTAATAATAATTACAATTATAAAAAAAAGAATTTATAGTTTATATATTAATAAATAATAATAATAATTTCGTTATTTTCTTTTTTTGAATGGTATTATAATCATTACAAACTAGCGCACAACAGCCCGCTTTTATTGAGACAACTAAGCGATCGCAGCGCCTCACTTATTTCTTCATATTTCTAAGACACTATTTTCTACAGTGATCATTCTCCTGCTCTCTAACCTTCATGGTTGTAGAAGTAATGACAGTGCGTTTTGAGTGAAAAGCCCATAGATTATGGAGTGTAGAGATGAGGAGAACAAACTCTACAGTGTAAATTTTAACGAACTTCTTATATTTTTTATTGCACATACTTTCACCGTAATTCATTTTATAACAATTATTTATACTTTACAAAAATTTTATTTTCGAAATCACTCTCATCGTATGTTACGGTGATTTGTCATACACTACTACAACACACTAGCTACTCGAGCGCTGTTTTGGAGAGTTTTTGAACTGTTATTTACTGCTTACAGATCATGGAGGGTAGAGAACAGGAGAACGATCGCCGTAGAAAATTGTGTCCCAGAAATATGGACACCATAAGTGATGCGCTGCGATCGTTAAGTTCGCTCTAAAACACTTGCACTTTAACAACACAAAATTTTCAAAGCCGCGAAGAAATTTTGTACATTTTTCAACTATCTTCATCTACTTGTACTCATAAACAGCTAACCTCGCAGTCACTACTCACCGACGTCAGCGCCGCTATAAATTCTACAATTTTCAAGGACAGGCGGGCTATGCTTTAGTACGTAGCGATCGTTCTCCTGTTCTTTAACCTCCATGTTACAGATGGACACCTTTTCAACTATTCTCATATGGGAGATTGTCTTTCTTACCTCTGTACTCCATGCCATAGATTTAGATTAAGCTCCAGTGGAGTTTATATTAGATCTATGGAAAAGACTATGAAAATATTCGTTCATTCATTCATCATTCATAAACGTGAACGCGAATCGTGGAAACATGTCTGCCGTTTGTGTTTATTGACGTAAATACTAGCAAAACAGCAAGTTTATCTATCATTGTGTTTGCAAATACGTAGTGTTTTTCTGTGCTACGTTGGTTTTATAATGTGTGATTGTGTTGTGCTCTTGTTCATATGAGGCTACTATATAAAACTGGTCCGATGGAGTCTCTCAGAAAATGGTTCTACAAACCAAAGGTACGTCAAAATAGTCTTGTTATTTCTTTTAAAGTTTTTATATTATATTTTGATTTGTTTTCCACTGCTGACATTCAATATTATTCTTTAATTCCATCATACTGTTTTCACGAATCTGTTTATATGTATTTATAATACAGGGCATTGCTTATTATTTGTTGTTACATCGTCATTTTCCTTGTGTAGCTAATTCTATTATAAATTTATTGCCATTGTTCCTATTATTCATAAAAATCCATTAAATGAGCGTTGAGCTCTATTAAGTTATTGTTCTCATTAGACACACACCTAATTTAAGATGGCTAAAATTTAAGAGATTATATTTGATCTAATGAAATTCGTTATAGAGTAGTTTTTTAACTCCTTCCTGACATCTTAAAATTAAAATATATTAAATAGTCAAATATTTTTACTGTATCACCGTTGGGTAGCAATTATGCTAAAACCGATTATACATCAAGGCAGAATAATATCTTTTTAATTTTTTTGTAATTAATTTAATTACAACTGGAATAAATAAATTTGAAAACCACATTGTCTAATTTTGAGATTTTATATAATATCTTTAGAAAATTCACATTAATTTTTCATCGAAGTATAAACTTTCCTATTTTTTTAAAATAACTCTGATTTTTGAAAGTTCAAATTTTAACCTATTATGTTCATATTTTGAGACCAAATTCCACAGTTATAAAATGACAATAATAATGACCTCTAGACAGAATTTTGATCATGGTAGCCAGTCCAGACATCAGGCTCAGGACCAACGGCTTTCCATTCCATGCTTTCCGAGGCAAGGGAGTGAAACACCACCAACTTCTTGACTCCAGGCTGCCACTGAGAATCTTTTATGTAAAACTCATTAGCAATATACATTACATATTATGTAGATATTAGAGTTGGGCCGATTAGTACTTTGGCCAATTAGCCGATTAATCGATTAAGAAATGGCAGATTAATCGGCCCAGACAACCCTGTTTCGGCGGCGTTCGGGAAATGTAGGTCTCATTCATTGATGTTGAATGTGATTGGAGATTCTTTATTTATTAACATTACTGGAAAGAAAAGCAATTTATTGTAATTTCACATACAGAAGATAACAATTTAATTTAATTAAATTTTTAGTACAAAAACAATAATTAGTTTTAAGTACAGAAACATGTAGTGTTCTATTTGCCTTTTCAAAATCTACATGCGTGTAGTTAAATAATGTTTATTCAAGAATTAAGTTTTTTTTTGTTATGCAAAGGAAGAGACTTAAAATTTGTTTTTTTAAAGTTTATAAGGAATATCTTTATAAATATTTTATTTTGTTCTGTTACTACTTTGCATTACGATTAAAGAAAGTTAAAAAGTAGGATTAAAATAGTAAGTACTTAGGTTTTGTTTAGTTTTAAATTTAAATAGCTACTTCAGATTCTTTTTTTTTACCAAAGTTCCTATGTCCAGAATAATTAACATTGAAACATGTGAGACTGATTTTTTCAATAAAATGTATGTATGAACCTACTTATTTTATTATTTATTTGATTTACTACCTACATATAAATCTGACGTGATTTTACGCATGGGAGACAAAACTATTCTTTTCTTAAATTTAAAGCTTTACTCATATCAATGTAGCCACATTTATCACGCGGAAAATCACGAAAAACCTTTGCTGAAATTAATAAAATAAAAAGCCGATAAATTGGCGGTTTTAACCAATTAATCACTGACTAACTGGTGACTACAAATAGGCCGATTAATCGGCTTCACCGATTAGTAGGCGGCGAATTGGCCCAACTCTAGTAGATATGTATTAGTGATCCTTTTAATCATAAATGATCATGAAAAATTTCGTTTGAATCATAATTACATAGTTGCAATTTGCAAATAGACATTAAATGAGAAGTTAGCGTTTAAAATCCTCTTACACGCATTTATTTCCTGTCCATGTTGAATGTTTTGTAACCCCTATACAGTACATTATCTATGCCCCTTACTTTAAAAGTCAAGGCGTAATAATTGATAACATGAAGAAAAAGTGATAAATCATAAAGCATATGAAATGGAAGTAACTAACAGTTGAGTATTAGGTCACTGAGTACAAATTACCAACCATTTGATTAAAAGATTCTAATAAACAATCTGCACATAGTTATCTTAATATAAAGACATGGGACAAAAATAGAATATTTCTATAATAATATTGTGACAATGTAAGTGTTTGTTTGTAGATAGGTTCATATCTTGTATATGGTTTGCAATATTGTAAATTTTGTCATGTTTTAATAATATAACTTATTATTGTGTTTATTTTATTTTGATTTTTTTGAAAAATAATAATACATCTCATCTAATTTAGTCCAAATGATTATATAAGAGTTAAAAATTTTGGGGCAGTTATTTGCATAAAAAATCTTAAAAATTTATGACAAAATCTCCACTATGTGACAAGCTATGGAAATAACTGTTCGGCAATGGACTTTTATATACAGTTATAGGTAGAAGTGGCATGTAATAAGTATCAGAAAGACATCTTCCTTTTTTTTGTATACCTTTAGTGACAAACAAGCACACAGACCACCTGATGGTAAGTGGATGCTGTGGCCAATAGATATCCACATTTATCCTCAATTGAAAATCAAAATGCAAATACGTTGTCACTATTGAGCGAACTGTAGAAATGACATGTGTTGAGTAGTATGTGGAGACATCAATCTCCTAGAAGCTTCCTCCACCAATATTAAATTTAGATCATTGTTTAAATCTTATGGTTTTTAATTTATTTTTGAAGCCAAGGCATATTGCTGAATCTAGTGCAACATGTATAGAAAACATTTTTACAAATGTTAATCCGTTCCATAAATGTATATTTCAAAAATTGAGCTCTGATCACTGTGGCCAATTAGTTTCATTACCTCATGGTCACAAAAATTAAGTAGAGGAAAAAGTTGTGTTTGTTCCAGTAAATGCATGTCATTTGGAGAAGTTTAGAAGTAACATAGTAAAAAACTTCCATCACTTCCATACTAAAATAATCTAGATTTTTTGTATGGAACATTATTTATGCTTATTTGCAATGAATTAGATAACACTTTTACTTCTAAAACATTCTACTTGAACAATCACAAGGCATTCAATGAATGGGCGACAGTAGGAGTCCATAAGAGTAGACAAAGGTTATATGAACTTTACAATGAAAGGTCATATAATCCTAGCATTGAATTTAGGGAACATGTAAAAAAATATTCAAAAATATATAAAAGAGTGTGCTCCATAGCTAAGTATTTGTATTTGAGCAACAAAATAAAGATGTCTTCTATTAAAATTAAAATGACATGGAGTATTATTAATAGTGAGAGTGGTAAGGTCAACTCTCGCAATTCAAACTACCAGTTAAGAATTAACAATAAATTAACTAAATCAGATCAGGATGTTTCAATGCTTTTTGAGAACTATGTTACTGATGTTCCGATCTTAACTACCAAGTCACTGAATTCTTCTCCTGTTGTCGTCGAATCATTACTTAAACAAAATGTAAATGTGTGTACAAAGAATTTTACATTTCATAAAGTCAAATGATATTGCAAAATATTTTAAAACTATTGATGGTAAGAAAACTGCAGATATGTAGAGGATTTCCGTTAAAGTGATTGCATCTATAATAGATACAATCACACCTCAACTATTTGTTATTTTTAATACTAATATTGGATCTGGTGTGTTTCCTGATTTAAAGAAGCATAGTAAAGTGATACTTTATTATAATCTGGTAGTACCTAGGACCCTGCTAATTTTAGATCTATTTCTGTACTGCAAACACCAACCTATCCAAAGCCTTCGATTGCGTTCACCATGAAACATTAATCAGCAAAATTCCAGTAGAGCCATGCTGCAGTTATATTAGTAGTATAGTTGTAGCATGAATGGGTCAGCTTGACAGGGGAAGGACCACGCTCTCATAGAATACCAGCGTAAAATAGTACCTTAATGCTGCTGTGTTTCGTATGGTAAGTGAAGAGCTCCGGTTCTCTTTTTACTGGAAATGAGGCATTCCATCTTAGTCCTCACGGGTGACAACGCATCTGCATTTTGATTTGTAATCAAGGATAAATGTAGATGTCTATGGGCCACAGCAACCACTCAGGTGGACTGTGTGCTCATTTGTCACCCTATCCTATATTTAAAAAAAACTTGGTCGATAAACTTTCTTCTAGGGCGTTCCTTGATGACTCTGCTCTTCACTTCTGTAACATAAATTTGCTTTGTCACTCTTTATAACCAATTACAATAACCTTTCTCTGCTAAAAAAAAGTTAAAATGTTGTAACATTTAAACGTAAAAATATATACTAGGGCAAATACAGCTACCAGTGGCATAAAGCAAGTCAAAGACAGCACCCAAGCAATAGATGTTAGCAAAAAGTTAACTTGTAACAAAAGAAGTATGCCCACTTTCCATACATTGATTGACCTGTCATTTGATTCTTTTTACAGGTCGCATCTACTTACAACTACTGTTGCATAAAATCAATTATTGTTTATAATAACATAATAACTTATCAACCTTTTTATTTAGAGGCCAAAGAAAAATGCTATAAAGTAAATAAGTTTTACAGATTATAACCTGTCAACTGTACACTATGGTATACTATGGCTCGGAAAGAAAAATAACTTCCACATCATAGTATAAAACCACAAAAAAGCATATCTGATCATAAAATGATAAGATAGTAACAAAAACAATTGGTTATTTTGAACATTCATAAACCACATGACAAATTAATAAGATTTTCACAGTCTGTGAAACAAAATGTGTAAAACACTTTTTTTAAATATATATTGTCATAGGTTCTGGGCTTTTAAGTCATTGTTAAACGCGTTCCTTCTCCAAAAGTTTATTGAGAATGATAAACATATTAATATTACCTAAAATCTACCTTTGGCTAAAGCCAAATTGAAAAATTCTATTATGCGATACGAAATAAGCAAAATAAAGGAAATTTTATAAGATAT